CCTTCACTTTCATATGCCCACAGCACTTCTCTCATGACTCATTTCACTTTCATCAATTCGCTTATCAATTTCCATTTGCCATCTCACAATGGGATTTCAAGCTTTACTTCTCATCGTTTCCTCTCAGCTCCCTCCAATATCCAATTATTTGACACTGCCGACTTTAATGGGAGGAATCCACTTGGTGATTGGCTTATGTCTTGTCTGCAATTTATCCCAATGCCAAATTGCGAATAAACTTAAATCTTTTTAAATATGGAAAGAAGTGGTCAGACCCTTCGTTTTCCTTTTCCAAAGTTAAACAGGAGATGCAATAGCCATCTTGGGGAATTATTCTGACCAAGTCAATCAATTAAAGGTCAAATTAAAATATGAAAATTATAAATTATGAAATTTGATCATAGTAGATATAATACCTCTGTAAATTTCTTCTAAAATCGTATTCAATGGAATGTTCAATATTTTAAGGACAGACGTTAATTTACATGCATCATTTAATGAATCAATATCGAATGACCAATTACAATTTTCAAAAAAAAATCTACGACAAAAACGCTATTTATAAGACAATTAGTCCTGTAAATGCATTGACTTATATAGTCAGTAAACATAGAGATACCTTTTAAAGTTACATTTGAGGTCACATTTTGTCACAATTAATACGCATATAAAAACAGCTCATTTTAAAATTAAGTTATTTTATTGCACACAGAGAGACTGTAGTCTAGGCATAAGAGACACCACCGATATCTAAGGGAAACAGAAACGAATACTATGCCTATTCTGTGATAAAAGGGAATTAAAGTGATCCTCGAGGAAACATTTAGAACACCAATCAAAGAAAAGCCTGTAATGTATCGTATTAGCCAATTGGAAGGGCAAAGCCCTTATCTACCATGGGACATTGATTTAAGCTATGGGCAAACAATTTAACCTTATTGATTTTGAAATGTGTGATCTAGTTGTCCGATTAGAAAAGTGCAAGTGCCGTAAAATAAGCCATTTCACTGTGTTTGTTGAATACAAGTACCTTGCTTTCAGTTAAAACCCCATATCAACAGAGAACCATAAGTATAATTGTAGTTTTGAGTTAGGTATAAAAAACTAAAATAGCACACTAACAAGGCATCTAAGAGGGCCTTTTATTTCGCAGAAGAGAGTTGACCCACTTTTCTTATCTTCTTTCTTCTGTTGATAAATTTAATAGCAATAAATACAACAGGTAGAACGGATGTACTTTAGGGGGGTTTGAAAGTTCAAGGTCACAGAATTTGAAAACATGAATATAATTAAAATGAATTATTATGAATTTCAAAGCAGGTATTTAATAGCTTAAAGAAAAAGAGGGAATTAGTTAAGTAGTTACGCAGATATGTCAAGGAATTAGGGAAATAAAGCATAGTGTAGCTGACGTAGAGATTGGAGATAAGCATCTCATGTATAAGCCGATTACGGCTTGTAAGACTAAAAGATTAATACAAACGGAAAAGAGTCCACAATTTAGCCTTCATCAAATAGATAGCTACCAGGTCAGTGACCCAAACTGTCATGATCGCGGCTCATAAGTCAATATACTCTACATCGACAAATCTATCCGAAAATTAGACAAAAAGAAATAACTTGTATTCCAAAATTCCGAATGAAAAAATAATAAAAGGAACTATATAAATATAATATAATTGGAATTATTTTGAGTTAAAATAAAAGCAATAGGGACTAATTACCATTCCACGCAGGGTCTTCGCTGAGAACTCGTTCCTTCTCTAAGCTGGCGGGAAGATTTACAGTAACTTTTGAGGAAGATGCATCTTGAACCTCTCGAATATCGTAGACAGGCAAGCGTAAATCATCAGGCCCATGTGCGAAAGCACAGTGAAGACCATTTTTGACACAAGCTCCATTTTCCGTAGTCTCATAAATACAATTTCCAGTCTTAAAATAACGCGGATGATACCGTCTTTCTGTATCCCCAGCATTTCGGTGTGCATAAGGACATCTATACAAATAAAAGTAATAAAATGATTCCAATTTACTCATCTCCATCGGGACATGCACCTGAATTTTCATCATATTTATCACAGTAAACATCCGGATTGTAGTTGAAAGTACCATCTGGTTTTTTTATCGGTCGCCTCCGTTTTTGATTCGGAAAATGCCAATAAAAACAGGTATACGGTCGATGATTATGACACTGCTGCTCGAGAAATAAAGGGCACTGAGTCGTCCTAAATTCGTTCAAATATCTATGCCAATATTTAGATATATAAATTAATTTTAATTTACTTTAAGTGACGAGGTCTTTCCATAATATCCAGTGGCAATCGAGTTGTTTTAAAATAATTATATGTGTCGGGATTAGTCACCATAATCATTATCGTGAGATTTCGTTTCGCTGACTAGGAAAATCCACATGTAAGAATGCGAAGAGCACCGTTTGATTGAATGTAAGAGGTGCCAGGGTCACAAAAATGGTCTTAGCAAAGTAAAACAAAGAAAAATAAATATTTATTTAAGTACTTCTTTTGTTTACTATTCTCGATTTTAGCATTACATTATTCTATTTCATTTATTCTTACTTTAATGGAAGTGGTAAATAATTGCCTTTTCTGATATTGTTGTCTATTTTCAAATATCAATATATTGTCTGTAGCACATAATGTGAACGTTTTCGAACACTTTGCTTGATTGGAAAAAGATTATTGCATTTGATAGCATTTTTGTTTATTCGCTCTTTCTAACCGAATTTTAACCCATGTTCAGGCTCTATTAATTTTTCAACGATTGAGCTCATTTTTATAGAATTCAACATGAGTTCTCTTTGGTTAGGCTTTGACCTCTCAATCTCACCAATAATCAATATACTGGCTAGGTAGTTGATGTTTTTCTCCTCTCTTTTGTCACATACTAGATGTATCCTCACTTCTAACCTGGGCGCTCCTTATGGATCGGTAAGGCTTAATATTTTTCTACGCGGTGGTCTCTTAGTTAAAAATATTTTGCCTTATAATTGATAATAAATTAATTTATGCCATGTTTCTTGATTAAAAAATCATCAGCCTGCCAGCACCCTCGTTAGTAACTGGGACAACAAACTTTGGTTTTATGCTGAATTTCCTGCGCTGTGTCCATATGTCACGCTTTAAATTCTCTTTTATCCCTATTTTCTAGTCATCAATGACCACTCGCTTACTCTCATTTCTTGAAACTTGGTACAGAACTTCTGTCCGGTTAAATTTCCCTTCCTTTTTAAGATCGGTGAATAGCAAAAATAAATTAACAAATTGGAATTTAGGAAACTATCTTATTATATCAGCTATTTTTAGGTCCCAAAATCATTAAAGATTTTTCAGGAATATATACATATATATTTGGTCAAGCTCGACATTGTAGACGTTTAAAAATTCCTGACTTCCTCCCGATTAGGCTAATGATATCCGTATGAAGTTACAACAATTAACCTAACAAATTAAAATCCTCCCACTTTGTTGATTTCAATACTGATAGAGTTTAGTTCACAAACTCAAACTGCTTAACACAGCAAAAAATTCAACACTGGCCAAAAACAGGAAGACAAAGTCTTGCACATATATAATTGACCAATTATTCATGGTAAGAATATACACAGCTCTCATGAAATTTTACAAAAGCAATCTTCAGCTAGCGAACAAGTGTTTGGCTAAAATTTTCGCTCCAGCCAACGGAGACTCCACAATCAACTCCTTCCGAGCTCCCAGTACTTCCTTCAGTTTTTTGCAAATAACCTCATCATTCAACTCATACAAACTAAACAGCAAATAAAATAAATTAGTACGTTAATAAAAAAAAAGTGAAGTGACAACGAAAAACAAAACTCACTGAACAAGAGTAAAGCAGGAACGGTTACAGGTCAACCAGGCCTGAAGAGTTTTTTCTGGAACCATTTCGCACACCAAACGAGAGAATTCACCTAAATTACCACAAAGCATGACAGGTTTACAATGATTAAAGTAGATTTTCATTCGTCTATATTCACTTACATGATCCTTTCTTATCATTCTGAATTAGGCGACTCATAAGAATCTGACCCTCTGGGCGTTCCAAGAACGGCGCGTTTGTGGGAAAAGCGTCTTCATCCACTGCTGAAGTATCCATCGGTTCTTCTCCGTCTTCTGTATTAGTGAAGGCTTGTACGTCCTATAAAGTAGGATAAGCAAAAAATTAAGCACATTCTCTTAAAGTAAAAGATATCGACAGTCAAAGCACATACAATCTTCCGTTTCTTGACACCCTCACTCAAGGCGGCTGCCAGAGCTCGTTTTCTTCGTTGTGCTTGTAAAATCCTTTTGCCCTCAGCCGATTGAAACGTCTTTTTCGTTGGAATACCAATCGGTTGGAAGTCGGGCAAAGCCAAAACCACCTCCACAAAATGCTTAATAGCTCGAGTTCTATAATTCTCAATGAGTTTTAATTCTTCTGCCGTGAGAATTGAGTTGCATTTCTCCTCAGCTATTTTTAACCTTTCAATCTCTCTACTTCCACTTCGTTTGAACTGCTCACAAGCTGAGGAAAACTGCAGTTCATGGGGTGAGGACTTGAGGAGAATTTCCGTCAACAGAACAATCCTTGACCTATCCAAAAAGGGAGCGGGGTAATCAGGAGATCCAACAAAGAATTTCAGAAGAGCATCTTCATGATTTTGTCCAATGACTAATTGCAGCAAAGCGGGCAGTAAGCCAACTAGAAGTGAACGCAGCTCAAGGGCACGAACAGCAAGAGGCTTCTTAGTGAAGGGAGAATTATCTCCTCCAACAATAAATGAGTTGATGAGTGCTGGAGCAAAATGTCTGGGATCACGAGGTGAGAGAGCATAGATGAGAACCTTTCTAGCATGTGGATGATTGACAAAATCCTCCAGATCTTCGATGATTTCCTTTATGACAGACTTGGCGAGTAGTTTGGTGTCATCCATTGCGTCTAGCAAGCCCATCAAGAAGATATGTCCGTGCTCATTCTCAGCGATTGATGCGACACAAGTTTTGAGGGATTTCAGGAGCGTTTTACGTTCTTTGGGAGGACAAATCCAAAGTAAGGCCAGAGAAGCTTTAACACCTTCTCGGGTGTGTAACGTGGGAACAATTCCAACTTCAAGAATTGTCTCAACAAGAACAGATAAGCGTTCCTCGCGTTTGTGAACTTCATCTCCCCCTTGGCTTGCTTCCGCATTGTCTTCCATTTCAGCATCAGCATCGATGTCTTTATCTTCGTCATCAAATTCATTTTGAACGAGTTTATGTTCTGTTGAAGACTTGGAGGAAATTTCGGTTTGGAGTTTAAGGATATCTGATGACTGGAGCATGACCATCAAGTATTCCAAGAGGAGATGTTGAACTATGCTCAATCGCAATAGACCCCTGTATAAAAATTTAGTAATCAAGGATTAAATGATTAATCATTTTAAGGGGCACTTAATAGCTAGTTTAAAACAAAGATGGGGCAAAACCTGTAATAAAAGGATCCATCCCTAGTTCTACTGTCGGAGATGGTAAAAACACGCAAATTGCATATAACTGTGTTTATGAAAAAGCCTTCGTTGACAATGCAATACAATAATTAACTCCGAAGTCATTTTAGGAAAGAACTTTCGAGTTGAGAGATAGTAGTATTGAACTAACATGATAAGGAGCTCTGCTTTTGGCGAATTTAACCGAGGCCTACTGAACCTGCGAGCCCTGAATTCGTGGCTGCAGCAACTTTCACACATAATAACACTCAATAGGCATTCTAAGATTCATTTTTTCCCCTAGGAACGAGCAAGCCAGTTTGGTTAGTCATGAATTTAATTGAACATTTGGCAATTGGTTCTATTCGACTATGATCTCCCACTTTAACAACTTCACCGACAATAAAAGTATAAAGAAGCTACACATCAATTTAGAATTTGCCATGGAAGATTGAACACTGCAGATCATTGTTTAATTTAAAGCAGATCACACTCAGCCTGTGTAGCCGGCAATTATATGCTGATTACACCATCGCTACAAAGGCTTAGCAATAGATCGTCGGAGGTGTAGATTATTAATTATCAACAGACTGATTATCTTACTTTGAGACCATAGTGACTAGAAGATCGTTTAAATTGGCCAAAATGGTAGCTCTCTTGTCCGGATTAAGATCAAGTGCTTGCTGGAGAGAAGTGACATTGTTTGCCGTTAGCTGGAGGGCAAAGTGATGTCCATATGTCTCCTGTAAAATAAGGGTTCTTTGGGAGGCGGTAGCGTAGTCATTGTAGAGCAGCTCCACGACCTCAGCGGCATGTTTGTGACGGAGTAACTTGGCAACATAACCCCTAAATACCTATGGAAATTGTTAAACATTAGTACTAAATATCACCGTCTAAAAGCTCAACTATGAGTTAGACGGCAGAGTACCTTGAAAAGTTCAAGTCTATGTTCCTTTGCCCCGTAATTAATAAGTTTGATGACCACATGCTTTCCATATTGAGACATGGCCAAGTAGCGAAGAAAATTCTTGAGTTCTGCGAAAATGGCCCAACGTTGAGCCTCCGTGCCTAATTGAACCATTGATTCAATAATTCTTGACGTATCTCTTGCGCGACTGAGATCCATTAGCTTTGTCTGAAAAGAAATAAAAAGCTATCTTTCCCCATTTTAAAGTGAACAAACAGTACCTAAATAAATTAGCTTACTTTAGTGGACGCAATCATCTTTTCAACGAGTTCATGTTTCTTTGATGTCTCCGTTGAATCCCTACGGAGAATTTCCCAATCTGCTAAAAGCTCAGGAACTACATCTGAGTGTTTCTTAGCCTGAAGGCGCGCTTGCCTTCGCTCCTTTTTCGTTGCGAAACCTTTGGAACATATAGAAAAATGGTGGTATGTGAAAACGTAGGTATATGAATATAATGCCATCAATGAGATGACTTACGCTTGTCCTTAATCTTTTTCTAAAACGAACACACAGAGTCAAATTCGTTGTCGTCAATAACCCAACATTCAATGAAAAACGAACTTACATTGGGAACTTCATTTTTGGCAGTGACCTTTTTAGGATGCTGCTGATCCTCCGGCATGTCCACATCGTCAAACTGAACAAAAATATCAATTGCATTGTGACAGATCATAAAAAACTTACCTTAGTAAAAGCTTCTTCTGAAAATTTCTTTTTGTAACCCATCTTCTTGTGTTTCTTAGATTTTTCTGACAGGCCAAGAGAAGAATTTTTATGGCTTCCTTTATTCTTCATCTTAAAAAACAAAATCATTTATCGAAAAAAGTAAGATTATACCATTATACTGTTTTTACTGTATAGAAATTGAGTTATACTCGTACTACCAAATCTACGGCGGGACGCACGTTTCTTGCAGGCTCGAGCTATTTTAAATCCATCGCGACTTAATTAGTGAGGAGCATCGACATTAACAGAAAATTAAAAATTCATATGATCAAAACATAAAAAATTATAAAAATAATTTTTGAGGCATAATTTTTTAAGTCTTTTGATATTCTAGAAATTTTGTTCTCGAGTGATGACGTTTTAATTCTTATCGCAAACTCTAACAAGCAACATTTCAGGAGTGTAGCTAAGCACAATTCCTTTGTGATTTCATCAATTGTACAATTTCATTGTTTGGGACGAATTATGTAAGTCTTACAAATTACTCCATTTAATTCCATTACAAATTACAATTCTGGGTTTTGTGGCAAGGGTTTATGTAATTATCTATATTTTAAGGTACGAATATGACTAAATGGTAAGGTCTAGTAATTTTCCATCAGCACACCTTTTCAAATCGGCTTCAAAATAATACTTTAGTTCTAACCTACTTGCAAGATTTATTAACGAACGAATGTACAGTGCTTGTGCATTATATAGAAATAATCAATAAACAGATGGTTTTGGTTGGTTTGTACTAAAAATCATAAAAACGATTTGCGAACCCTTAGGCTCTTAAGAAAAGGGAGGAAATAATATTAATCTCAATATTAAATCCGTTCCAAATATCAAATTCCTTTGAAACTAGTTGGAATAGAAGAAATTATTTGATAATAAACATTGAAACCAAATTGGGTTTGAACAACACAACCAGTTATTTTACACCAAGGTACGTTAATATCAAATTGGTATCTTTTCATTGAATATCCAATAATCTCTAAGAAACACATTTTTTAAATATATTTAATTATTAGGTGCCCATATTCATTCGAACAATTTAATGAAAATATTTGTAAAATGAGTTATTTATTAAAATATGCTGCCCGTTGATTTGTAGAGTTTCGTGCAAATTGAATTTCTTTGCGCAACTCCATGTTAGTATTGGATTCAGAGAAGTAGTGAGCATTTGAGCAGGCCAATAGCTTTGCAAAGTTTATGCTCACCTTGCACAGCGTATTTTCTTCATTTTCGATATTTTCCGGTCTGGAAATCGGTATAGATGTAAATCAGAACATACCCACCAAACCAGCCCTAACATACCTCCACAAATCATAAATATTAGCAAAATCTTTCAAACATTCTCCCATAAATGTAAAATGTATTAGCCAACTTTGATATTAATTCGAAACGGAATTCGATAGTTGAAGAGAAAGTGACAAATACCAATGCTTAAAGATTGAAAACTAGGCTTTAAAAAAGTGAATTTGAAAAATTTTTGTTTCCTCACTCTTCAGTCAGTACTTTAAACTTCTCCGATTGCTTCTGTTAGAATGCCGTGACAATCCCTTGATCTAACTTTAGGGATTTCCTGAACGGAAATGGTTATTTGTTAGGAATCGACTGTGTTAAATTTGTTTTGAAAGTTTCAGTTTCATTCTTTTCGTTTCAGATTGTTTTTTTTGAAAAACGTTTCGTTTTCAGAATTTTCTATGCATGTTGCAACATCCTCTAAATTAATTAGTTGAAGGAATTTTTACTTCGTCCATCAGAATACATTTCATGTGAAAAAAATTTCCCCCAATCCTTGATATATAAATTTTTATAAAATCGATAAGGGGTAAATAAATTTACTCCAATAACCCCTTCCCAACTGTGTTCCAAGTTATCAAAATGCCTGCCATTTGAAATAAATAAATGATGGAATATTATTATTAAATTGTTCAAGTATTTTGTCCCCTTTATCATGATGATTGGATCGTACCAAACCAACTTGCTCCAAATTATACCGACCTTCTGACTAAATATGCTCGAAATTTGTGATATTTCTTATTCAACCGGATTCATTTATCCGTTGTATCTTAGCGTGTTCTATCTTTCTTTTCTTTGGTATTTTACATTTCAAAACCAAAATCAGATAATTCCTATACCACAGTTCACTCTCCTGTGGCAGTTAAAAACGGGCTCTTTAACTTCTGAAGTGCTTAGCATAAGAAGTAATTGCCAGAATTGATAGTAAGAGGGGACTGTTGCATTATGGGACTGTTTCCAAATTCAATTAAACATTTATACTCTATAGGCGATCAGTCTCCTCTTATGGAAATAGTGTTTGGAACTGATGAGCCTTCCAATCAATTTCTTCAAATTTAACATTTTCAAATTATATAATGATTTTTAGTAAATGAAATTTTCATTGGTTGTCAGAATTGACTTTAATAATGTTTTCATTAAAGTGGCTTTTCACAACTCGACTCTGTTAAGGAAACCGTCCATGGTCTGAAATCTTTTAATATGATCTAGTCTTGAAGTTGGTGTACTGTAAGTTATGGAGTATCTCTGGCTATGAAGCTTCTACTTAATTATTTTTCTGCGTGTCTGAAGGGCCTTTAAGTATGTTCCATTTGGAAATAATGTGGAAAGTGTGAGAATCCAAAGTTTAGTAAGACATAAAGTTGATTGAGAAAAGAGTCAATTTCAGCAAATTTATGATGACAGAAAAGTGCGTAAAATCGATACCTAATTGTTGATAAATGAATTGAGATAAAAAACAGCAATGAAAGTGACTCGTTCGTGTGTGAGGGATGTATAATGGGTTCGCTACCAATTCAATTCACACCCAATGTATGGAATTGTGAAATACTGATTAACTCTGACCCATAAAATTGAGAATTATGGTGAAAATGGTGTATCTCACTAAGGGTGCTTTTAGTGACCATCTCCCTACCCAAGATAAGTGGCGGGGAAAATGTTGTCATAAAGGAACTTTGGGGTTATGGCATGGCATGAAAGTTGGCACAAACTACTCATAACGCAATAAGCACACATCGTTTTCACTAAATTGTGGAAAAGACAAATGATTTAGCCTAAAACGACATCTGACATATATGGTATATTTTAAATTAAAAAAATAAAATATGATTCAGAGGGGATTAATAAGATTAAAAACAACGTAATTCTGGTTAAATTTAACACAGAGAAGTAATTATTCAATCTTAGGGGTTAGATTTAGTTTGGTATAAATATGATTAATTCTTTCGGATGCTCAAGAAGTGAATGCACAGATTTAAACTGCGGAATATTGAAATCGTCTAAGCAGAAGCAATCAATAAATTGATTGAAGATGCAAATATTACATTACCATTTTTCTCTAAGTTTACTTAAACACGTTCTCTTTTTTCCCTATTTAATTATTTTTAATGATAAATTATGTAAGGACAGTTTTTGAGGAAAATACATAACTAAATTGAATATGATGGAAATATAATTCTTTAACAGCAAATTACAGAATAAAAGAAATATTTAAGTCAATTCGCCTGTGTTAATTCCGTGAATATACAAAATTCAACAACTGTACGAAAGGAAAGAAATATTTCATGTGCACGCCTTCATTCATCATTAAACACCGCGGCCACAATACTGTGAAGTTCAAACACAAATCATCAATTAATTCGGCTCTCTTCCCATGTACCTTACATTTCCTTTTTCCTGCCTTTAACAACTTGCAATTTCTTCTCCTTTTCCTGTTTACGATTGAAGTTGGTTCACCTCCAAACTCATTATTCATTATACTGAATTTTGGCCAGCCAATGGTTACCCCTCCCTCCACCCTCCTCTCTCCTTAAAAATAATAGGATCAATCATTATCTAGCGTTCGCTAGCATGCGCGCAATAGCACACACACGCACAAACGCGCATACGTATCACAGCCAATAGTCTTAAAGCGCGTTTTCTGTTTGTACGCGTAGCGCAAACAATAAAAGCACGCGACGAGTTATGATTGGAAGCCATTAGCTATTAAAGTCAACATATAGTTTACGACCAAGAAATATACTCATTATAATGGATGAACGAAGTCAACTAGTACCACTTAATCTCTGTTCGCCCGCCTTTCTTCTAGATGAGCTCAAATCAATAAGCAGTACTTTCTTGCAATCCCCTCCCCATTTACATGCCCTTCAAACCGCTCAACAGAATCACATACCTGGGGATCTCGATCTGTCTTTGTATTCAAGAGCCCCTGAGTGTTACAACCTTCCTCTTGGTGGAACACCCATGCTCCTTCCTGATTACCGGATGCAACATAAGACGATCGAAGAAGAACCAAAGCCAAATTTCAGTTATATTGGTGAGTATTTTCAAAAAAAATTCAGTCGTCATGTTTTGAGAAGAGAAATTCTCTTCTATGCCCTCCTTGAATAAGACACCAGTATTGCAATATGTATTCGATTATTTGTAAAAATATCCTTATGATTCTTGGTAATGTCACTCCCTACCTGAAGCTGTCCACTTTAAAGAAGGAAATTCCCATTATTATGAATTGAGACTATCTTCAGGAGAAAATATTCACATTTTTTTCGATACAATTAATCTGATTTTAAAACTTAGCATTTTTGCCTAAAAGAATTAAGTGCCCACCAGTACAAATAAAGTGATTTGAATGGTTGATTCGAGAACAGAATAGAGGCGCCAGAATGTGAGTTACGTCAGAATGTCTTCCATCTACTCAAATTGAGCATAGTCGACAGCTCTTCATACGCCGGATGTTTCAATTTCTTGGTATAATTATCAAACATGCATTATTTTGCATGTATGAAGAAATGCTTGTCATAGCATCTGGACAAGTTAGGCACTGATTTATTTCCAATAGTTTTAGATAATTCGTGCCTTTATATTTACCTTATGCTATTGTAGGCACATTTGATCTACTGAATTATGTTTTATTAGCCTTTACTTCGAATATGTGATTTTTCTTTTAATAAGAATGGAAGCAGCAGGTAACTGGGCGCTGGAAGTCCCAGTTGATTGTCATGGGTGAGGAATAATAATTCTACCTGTGGTGTTCAAAAATAGGACTAACAGCTGAAGGAAAGCTCTCTTTGCCGGTACTCATCTTATGAGTAACTCTGACAAGAAGCTTTGACCCTCAACTTGCCTCTGGGACCTCGAAACTTCTAGACATGCAATACACCATCAACAAGATAATTGAAGTATAAATGCTTTTTTTTAAAAAATTATAAGTAAATTGTTTGAATTTTCTTGTAAGCTGGAAAACACCTAACTTATGGTTTTATTTGATATTACAATTGTGGAATGCAATGTGTTGAGCATGTGGGCTAATAAGGTTATTTGCATCGAGCTAAGTAATTACTCATGAAGTGCTACACTAATGGCCGCTTTTCTTTCGAAAACCGGTTTCCAAACTTCTTTGTTATCTGCTAACTCTGAAATTTTTAGAAAAGAAGTAAAAATTGACATACCTTCAAAGCTATCTTGTGCATTTATTCCAAGGTGTCATCTAACCTCAAACATTATCCAAATGACAGTGGAAACTATGCTTATTTATCAGGGATTATTAGCTAAGAAATCGGGTCCTCTCCAAAACTCGTAAATAATATTTGCTGTTTCCCAGTTTATGACCAATAACCAATGCAGTAATATATACATACCTGAGGAATAAATTAACACCCGAATAAGGCAGTTGCTAATTGCTCTCTTTTGTGGAAAAAAGGCTACAATGTCAATAATGATAAGCAAAACTCATTAATTAAAGGCACCCCCTGAATGAGCCGTAGTCGAAAAGAAGTAAAAAAACTCAATGAAGATTAAGCAGTATCTGTCAGAGGATTTATGCGTGTGTGTGTGTGTGTGTGTGTGTGCCTTAATATACCACGGCTTTCCTCTTCTTTCCTCATTCCTGTTAGTGCAATTTGTCATTCAATTTCCTTTGCTTGGTATTCAAAGATATACTGGTTATTTTGCGTTTTGGAGAGGTCGGTACTATTTCACCTCAGTAATTGCAAATCGATCATTTTCCTGCTCAATATATTGGGCCAAGGGAGCAATATTATCAAGGCCTATTTTAACTAATTTAACGTATTGATTTTAATTAGCCCAATCATCAGGTTAATTTAAGTAAATAGGAGTGAATCGATCGATAATATTTGCCTTGTTGTCTAGTAAATGAGAGAACTGTCTATTTAATCCTCTGTTCCCTTGACTTCAGGGCTCATAGCGAAGGCTATTCTGAGCTCGAAGGATCGTAGAATGGTGTTATCGGAAATCTACGAATGGATTCAGGTGAATTACGCGTATTTTCGAAGTCGAGGACCCGGATGGAGAAATTCCATTCGTCACAATCTCTCCCTGAATGATTGTTTCATTAAGGTTGGGCGTTCATCAAACGGAAAAGGGCATTATTGGGGAATTCATCCAGCTAATGTCGAAGATTTTCGCCGAGGTGATTTTAGACGCCGAAGAGCTCAGAGAAAAGTTCGTCGAGCACTTGGTCTATCCTGTCCAGGAGATGGTGAAGATAGTGATTCGCCTCCGATTTCCCCTCCACCCCAATTTTCGTCTACACAATCTTGTGGATTTCCACCCCTCCCCTTGCGATCAATAGCCAATACTGATCGACGGTTTTTACTGCCTTCAAATCCTTCCATGGATATGTTTACAGCCTTACTAAACAGTTTAACAACATCTGGAATCCTACCTGCAAATCAAAGTACATTGCATCCATCCCAACACCAATTGCCGCCTCACCTTCCAAATACGCAACCACTTGAGAAGGAACGAGAAGCAGAAGAATGTCCTAGAGGTCCATTACAACCACGCCCAGCCTCAAATAGTGGAAGTTTTAGTGTAGCAAGTCTGTTGGGTGTTTGAATTTGCAACGTTTCTTGATATCACCACATGTGCCTTGTATACACGAGAACTCATTTTATTGACATATTGTTGGAGGTGGTTTTAAATTAATAAAGCGCTTCAGATGTTGATTCTCTATTTTCCTTTTCTTTTAATAAGGACATCAAGTTCGATATGAATGCAAAGCAATTCTGTTAACCGAGAAACGAAATGTAGTCTTCATTGAATAATGTGTCTTAGGTTTTTTTCCATTTCTGAATACAACTTGAGGCAGGAAGTAGTACTTTGGGTGTTCTCAGTTCACCACTTAGTGGAAGAACAGGAGACAAAACGATGTAATTAAATAAAGCAAAAGAGTCTGATCCATTGAATTTGAAAATAACCCACGAAAAGTGAATATATTAAAGCTAGTGGCAGTTCATTGATTTAATGAAAGACAGGGAGAATTGGAGGGACACATCTCAGAAGGTCATTCTATGAACCAAATCTCAACACCTTCCAAAATTAGTCCTCCTTTACAATACCTCTATCGCTGTTTGATTGCTGTATTATATGGTGCAATTGTCAGTAAATGGACACTATTTTGGGCATTATAAATAAATTTTATGGAATATTTGGACCATTTAACAGATGTTTTAAAGGGTTTTCATGCTCAAGTTCAAGCCCATCTTTTTTCATATACCGGTAGAATACGAGAATGGATGATTGGAATCATAAAAGAGAATAACTTGCATCGCAAGTGGTCATAGATAATTCAATGTTCCTACACCTGAAGTGAAACTTGGCTACTACAAGTTCATGCAATCAGCGTAGAGAGCAGTTTCTCATGGAAAAGGTCCACCGAAATGGTCTGACAAAGGCAAGGAAACTTCTGGCTCTTTCCCGACGAAAAAAACTTTCAGCCAAGTTGGAAGATGCAACACACACTGAGAGAATAAGAGGTAGTCTTGCGTTCATGGAGTCCAAAGGATATTCCTCTAGACACGCGAAATAAATTTGTCAAAGCTGACATAGCTTTTGGATACACGTCCACCTCTCTCTCTCCTCCCAGGGTGATGTGACGCCTCCATTGGCACTTTTTGAAAGAGAGGCATTAGATGGAATTCAGATGCCCACGTGGAATTGCTGATCACTGGATAACGAAGGAGGCTAATTTACAATTAGCCGTGTATATGGTGATAGCAGGACACGGCCACTGTCACGGCGCAGGTAAAGGCCAAAAATAACTATCAGGTCAGTGTTACGACTTCGTCAGTCTAAGTGTTCGATCGACCACTAAACTCCCCTCTACGCTGCCTCTACTCTGATCTTAACCTAATTGGCCACTTTATCGTATCCCCTTTGAGAGGGGCAGGGTTGCTAAAGAAATTAAAGTTAAAATGGAAAAGGAAAAAATAGAAAAGCAAACATTTATTTATTTCAAATGGCAGGCGTTTTGATAACTATCATTAGCCATTTAGCTGACTTCAGGCTTCACAGAGAGGAGGAGGAACATCAAAGTGACAAAAAGTCGAGAGGGGGGACAGAATAATGATTCACAAATGTGACAGAGACAGACAAAAGAGCAGAGAAAAGGTAAGATGAGTACTCTGAAATGGGTTGAATATGGCATACAGTGGGGGTAGTTTGAAGTCAGAAGTCAACTGCCGGTTAATAGACTTTTTTGTCGTATGAGTATTTGTTGCCCAGGGTGCACCACGTGGAGGTAAGTCTATCGCACACCCCAGAAAAGCAAACATATGAAAACGGACTTTTCTAGTCACTTTGCCCTCTCGAAATGAATTAAAGCGGCATGATCAAGCATGCCATTAAAACAACCAATCGAAGGCTGTAAGTGCTGCAGACATAGACAGACGTAGATATTCATGGGTCAAATGAAGGAAAATGAGAAATGAATTCTTTGGACATTGAAAATGAATTTTGGCTCT